TATGAGCACCTTTAGTATTGTGTTAGAGTTGTTTTTACCTTTTTGTGTGTGTATCTATTGTAAGTTTTTTATTTGCAGTTCCTGTAAGGTTTTGATGTAGCAGACTATATATATGGTTTTAAGTTGCTGTTCTTTTCATTTCAAATGCAATTTCCATTTCCTGCCTTTGTACTCTCCTCTGTTCATGGTTTCTGCTTCTGATAACATATTTATATGTGGATGGTTTCCTACTTTTGCAGTGTGTCTCCTTTACCAGTGATCTTTCCCATTTCTGATTTTCTGGTTTCTAGTTGTGGCCTTTTTTGTCCCCTCAGCCTAGAGAAATTCCTTTAGTATTTGTAAAATTGGCTTGGTGGTGCTACATTCTCTTAGCTTCTGTAAAAATTTTGATTTCTCTGTTGAATCTGAATGACATCCTTGCTGGCTAGAGTATTCTTGGCTGTAGATTTTTCCCTTTCATCACTTTAAATATATTGCGCCATTCCCTTCTGGTGTGCAGAGTTTCTGTTGAAAAATAGCAGGTAACTTTATGGAAATTCCCTTTTATTTGTTGCCTTTAATATTTTTTCTTTGAATTTAATTTTTTTAGTTTTATTAATATGTGTCTTAGTGTGTTTCTTCTTGCGTTTATCTACATGGTGCTTGGGTTTATGTATATACATAAATCTCCTTGAGTTTATGTACGCATGAAACTCTGATTACTGGACTAGGATGACTATTTCCTTTCCCATGTTAGAGAAGTTTCAGACTATAATCTCCTCAAATATGTTCTCAGGTTTCTTTTCTTCCTCTCCTTCTGGGGCCTCTATAATGCAAATGTTGGTGCTTTTAATGTTGCCCCAGAGGTTTCTTAAACTGTCCTCATTTCTTTACATTCTTTTTTCTTTACTCCATTCTGTGACACTGATTTCCATTATTCTGTCTTCCAGGTTACTTATGCATTCTTCTGCCTCAGTTATTCTGCTATTAATTCCTTCTAGTGTATTTTTCACTTTGGTTGTTTATCTCTGTTCATTTTTGTTTGTTTCTTCTTCAAATCTTTTATCACATTGTTAAGAATTTCTTGTATCCTTTAAATCTGTGCCTCCATTCTTTTCCCAAGATTTTAGATCATCTTTACTATCATTACAATGAATTCTTTTTCAATAGGTTGCCCGTCATCTCTTCATTTAGTTGTTCTTACAGTTTTTATCTTGTTCCTTCATCTACAACATTTCTCTGTTGCCTCATTTTGTCTGACTTCCTATGTTTGTGGTCTTCTTTTCACAGGCTGTGTGATAGTAGCTCCTCTGGTTTGGGGGGCCTAACCCCTGGTGGGCGAGTTTGACCCAGAGGCTTGCACAGGTTTCACAGTGTGGAGAACTGGTGCCTGCTCTCTGGTGGTCAGAGGCAGATCATGTCTCTCTGGTGAACAGTGCCCTGTCACATGGTGTTGGGGATGACTTTGAGCTTAGAAGGACTTGAGGCAAGCTGTCTGCTGATGGGTAAGGCTTTGTTCCTGTCTTGCTGGAACCTGTAGGCTGCTGTATGAGATCGGGTCTTGCTGAAATGGGGACTTCCTGAAGAGATCATGCCAATTAATCTTCTCTGGGGACTCTGATAACCAGTGTCTTTGCCCTTGTAGTAAGCTATAGTCAACTCCTGCCTGCCTAGGAGTCCCTCTAAGACCCCTGGGTAGGTTTAGCCCAGGTTCCTTTGGAGGTCCTGCTTTGTGCTGGGTCCCAGTGCATGTGAGACCTTGTGTTCACCCTCGAAGAGTGGAATCTCTCTTTCTATCAGCCCTGTGCTAAATGCTCTGAGGGTTCTTCCTGCCCTCAGAATGTCTTGGAGGGTTATTTTTATGTGAGAATCTCGCAGTGTAGCCTGCATGGGTTTCTTTATTTATTTTGGGGGGTGTGAGGGCTATTTTTAATATAGATGTTTGCCACCTCTTTTTTTAGCGTATACTGGCTATCATCCCCTTTAGAGGGGGTTTGACTGGTATTGTGGTGACCAGAGTCTGCCCTGCACATTGAGTGGTACCTCCCCTTTTCTCTGTGGTTTTCACTGCCCTGTCAGGGGTGGGGTTTGGTCTCTAGTTTGGGGGAGGGGGAGATCTGCTCCCCAGATCTGTTTCCATGCTGTGTTTCTGATTTTTGGTGTGAGGCAGGAGGGATTGGAGCATTCTCACTTGGAGAGAAGTCACTGAGTATTCCTCCTCTAGAAATGTTTACCTGTGAGTGTGCTCTGATGTGTCACCTTTCACCCATGGTCTGTACTCTTTGGTTACTCTGTTGTTGTCACTGCTCTTGACCCCATTTTAAACATGGGCTTGCTAGCAATTGGTCCTGGTGTCTCTTGGGTGCTATTTTCACCAGGCCACCAGCATAGATCCACTAAAGTCAGGTCCCAGGATTGCAGCAATCATGAATCTGGGCTCTCTGTGGGCACTATGGGGGCAGCTCAGATCCTGTGTGTACATGCTCACAAGTCCACAGTTGCTAAACTTAGACCCATCTCGGCTGCAAGAGCACTTGATGACTGTTCAGATGTTCTACAGGGAATGATATTAAAAAGCTGGTTGTGGTGATGTAATTCTTAGGTTTGTATAGCTGTGAGGAGAGATTCCAGCTCTTCTTCCTTAGCTTCATGGCCCCTGGGGCTCAGCTGTGATTTCACCTCCACCATTGTGTGCATGGCCCAGACTCTGTAGTCCCCAACCCCCAAATGAAATAAGTATGTCTCCAGAAGGGGTTATGGACAGGCAGATACCTGAATATATGAATTAAGTTTCATCAAAAATTTCTTAATGCACTTTTAGCTCTTTGGTGATTGGTATATGATTGCATGAGTTTGAATAAACTCTGGGAGTTTGTGATGGAGAGGGAGGCCTGGTGTGCTGCGATTCATGGGGTCGCAAAGACTCAGACACGACTGAGTGACTGAACTGACTGACTGACTGATATATTTCTTAATGCACTTTTAGCTCTTTGGTGATTGGTATATGATTGCATGAGTTTGAATAAACTCTGGGAGTTTGTGATGGACAGGGAGGCCTGGTGTGCTGCGATTCATGGGATCGCAAAGACTCAGACACGACTGAGTGACTGAACTGACTGACTGACTGATATAATTGCTTCCTAGAAAAATCTTTCTCAGAGAGAAGACCCATTATATCTGTCCCAGTCACAACTCACTGCCATCTTTTATTGTTAAGATATTCATTCATTCATTCAGTGAACAAATAGTTAATGAACACTCATAACATCTCTTGCACTCTTTTGGGTATTAGATACAGAGTGGACCGGACAGATTCATAGCAGTTAATTTCACTTAAGTGAATAATGGGTATAAGGAGCTGGGACAGGATTTGAGAAAAAGGTTTAGGCTTCTCTGGTGGCTCAAATGATAAAGAATCTGCCTGTAATGCAGGAGACCTGGATTCATTTCCTGGGTTGGGAAGATCCCCTGGAGGAGAGCAATGGCGACCCACTCCAGTATCCTTGCCTAGAGAATCCCATGGACAGAGGAGCCTGGCAGGCTCTAGTCGATGGGGTCACAGAGACAGGATTGAGCGATAAAAGCACGGTGTGTGGGCCACTCACAGGTGTCTGCTCCAGAGGCTGCTCCTGGAGCCTGTGAGCCTTCCATGGTGGGGATGGGTCACATGGGGGGAGCCAGTGGCAACATGTTCAAGATAGTCAGCCCTGACCGGGATGGGGCATGCGGGGGTGGAGGGAGACACAAGGCTGGCAGCCATGGGCATGAGAGAGCCAGCCTCAGTGGGGACAGGGCATGTGGAGGAGACAGCAGCTGCAGGTTCAGGAGAGCTGGCTTCCTAATACCCCAGCAGCCCTTCCTAGTACTCCGGGAAGCAGGGGCTGGCACATGCACAGAGAGAATTGCAATGGTGGCCCCATCCTTTGCATGTAACTTAAGCATGGTGGTTCATTTCTGTGGCTGTCTGGGCTTCCTCCATGAGCATTCCTAGTTGTGGAGCTCCTCTCTCCTGTCCCCTCAGGCTGTCTCCTCGGAGCCAAGAGCAGTCCTCTCCCTGGACCTGCTCTCCAAATCCTGTATTCCAGCACCCAGCCCCCATCCACATTGATGGACACACTTTTCAAGCTGGGACACACAGTGTTGTGGCTTGATCCTACCTGCCACTGGTTGCTTTGCTCTCCTCTGAACCCCCAAAGCTCCCCTTCTGTCCGAGCTGATCTGTCTGCTGATGAGGGGCTTCCCTGGTTGCAGGAATTGCTCCTCTTCTTCAGCTCCCCCCTCTGGGGTATGGGTTATGTCCTGCTTCCCTTTCTCATCCTTTTCCCTTCTTTCTTTGGTCCTACCCAATTTTGTGGGGACCTTTCTTGCCCTTTTAAGTGTCTCCAGTTCTCTGCTAGTGTTTAGCAGGTGCTTTGTGAGAGCTGTTTTATTTATTGATGCATTCTTTTTTTTAAGACACTAATTTTTTAGATTTGTTTATTTTGGGCTGTTTCAGGTCTCCGTTGCACATGGGCTTTCTCTAGCTCTGGTGACCAGGAGCTACTCTTCATCGTAGTGTTTGTGCTTATCATCGCAGTGGCTTCTTTTGCTGCAGAGCACAGGTTCTAGACATGTGGGCTTCAGGAGTGCTGGCACATGGGCAGTATGTGCTGCGTGGGCTTAGTTGCTCCTTAGCATGTGATATCTTCCTGGAGCAGGAATGGAACTCAAGTGCCCTGAATTGAGAGGGGAATTCTGAAGCACTATACAACCAGAGATGTACTTGATGTACTTTTGATGACTATGTGGGGAAAGGTGAACTCTAAATCTTCTTACACTTCTGCCATCTTGACTCAATTCTCTTTTATTCCTTTTAATTACTATTTAATTAATATTAAATATATTAAATTTAATAATTAATTTAAATAATAAATTATAAATAATAATTAATTGATTTAATAGATAATTTAATTAATATTTAATTAATTTTGGTGTGTGGTATAGGGTTAACACCAAAATCTTATTTATTATATTCTTTGCAGACAAAGATGGAGAAGCTCTATATGGTCAGCACAAACAAGAAAGGGAGCAGACTGTGGCTCAGATCGTGAACTCCTGATTGCCAAATTCAGACTTAAAATGAAGTGGGAAAACCATCAAACCATTCAGTTTGATTTAGGTATGACCTAAATCAAATTCTTTATGATTATACAATGGAAGTGAGAAATAGAATTAAGGGACTAAATCTGATACACAGAGTTCCTGATGAACTATGGACGGAGGTTTGTGACATTGTACAGGAGACAGGGATCAAGACCATCCCCATGGAAAAGAAATGCAAGAAAGCAAAATGACTGTCTGAGGAGGCCTTACTGATAGCTATGAAAAGAAGAGAAGCAAAAGACAAAGGAGAAAAGGAAAGATATACCTATTTGAATGCAGAGTTCCAAAGAATAGCAAGGAGGACAAGAAAGCCTTCCTCAGTGATCAGTGCAAAGAAAAAGAGGAAAACAATAGAATGGGAAAGACTAGAGATATCTTCAAGAAAATCAGAGATACCAAGGGAACATTTCATGCAAAGATGTTAATTTATTAAATTAATATTTAATTAATTTTGGTGTGTGGTATAGGGTTCACACCAAAATCTTATTTATTATATTCTTTGCAGACAAAGATGGAGAAGCTCTATATGGTCAGCACAAACAAGAAAGGGAGCAGACTGTGGCTCAGATCATGAACTCCTGATTGCCAAATTCAGACTTAAAATGAAGTGGGAAAACCATCAAACCATAGGTATGACCTAAATCAAATTCTTTATGATTATATAGTGGAAGTGAGAAATAGAATTAAGGGACTAAATCTGATACACAGAGTTCCTGATGAACTATGGACGGAGGTTCATGACATTGTACAGGAGACAGGGAGCGAGACCATCCCCATGGAAAAGAAATGCAAGAAAGCAAAATGGCTGTCTGAGGAGGCCTTACCAAAGCTGTGAAAAGAAGAGAAGCAAAAGACAAAGGAGAAAAGGAAAGATATACCCATTTGAATGCAGAGTTCCAAAGAATACCAAGTAGAGACAAGAAAGCCTTCCTCAGCCACTAATACAAAGAAATAAAGGAAAACAATAGAATGGGAAAGACTTGAGAGCTCTTCAAGAAAATTGGAGATACCAAGGAAACATTTCATGCAAAGATGGTTTCGATAAGACTCTATATAGCTATAGTCTATAGTCTCCCCTCCTCACACATCTCAATGGTCTCTGCCATAACCCTCCTTCTCCCTGGCCCAGCTGAGCAAGTGAGCTGTAATCAGCCACTGCTTTCACACACTCTTGTCTGGATGGGGAACAGATGACAGAACGTGGCCCACAAACAGAGGTGGGACCAAAACCAAAACTGAGCACCAAGGCTATGTGTCCAAAAGAGAGGAAGGAAATTTCTAGTACCACTATAGGAGCAGTGGGTTAAATCCTTGCAATTGGCTTGGTAAACCATGCATCTGTAGAATATTGGAATAAAAAATGAGTGTTCCCACTTTTGAGGTTGTGGGATTTGAGGGCAGCTGTGGACTCTGAAAGCAAGTACAAGCTGGATTGGGGCTTCTCTGGTAGCTCAGCAGTAAAGAATCCTCCTGCAGTGCAGAAGCTGTTGGAGACATGAATTCAATCCCTGGGTCAGGAAGATCCCCTGGAGAGGACATGGCAACCCACCCCAGTATTCTTACCCAGAAAAGCCCAAGGACAGAGGAGCCTGACGGGCCATGGTCCATACGGTTGTAAAGAGTTGGACATGACTGAAATGACTGAGCATGCGAACATAAGCTCAGTTCAGTTCAGTCGCTCAGTCGTGTCCGACTCTGTGACTTCATGGACTGCAGCATGCCAGGTCTCCCTGCCTACCACCAACTCCCGGAGTTTACTCAAATTCATGTCTATTGAGTCGGTGATGCCATCCAACCATCTCATCCTATGCTGTCCCCTTCTCCTCCTGCCTTCAATCTTTCCCAGAATCAGGGTCTTTTCAAATGAGTCAGATCTTCACATCAGGTGGCCAAAGTACTGGAGTTTCAGTTGCAACATCTGTCCTTCCAATGACTATTCAAGACTGATTTCCCTTAGAATGAACTGGTTAGATCTCTTTGCAGTCCAAAGGATTCTTAAGAGTCTTCTCCAACACGACAGTTCAAAAGCATCAATTCTTCTGCATTCAGCTTTCTTTATGGTCCAACTCTCACATCCATACATGACTACTATAAAAACCATAGCCTTGACTAGACGTTGGCATCACTGACTCAATGGACATGGGTTTGGGTAGACTCCAGGAGTTGATGATGGACAGGGAGGCCTGGCGTGCTGAGGTTCATGGGGTTGCAAAGAGTCGGACATGATTGAAGAACTGAACTGAACTGAACTGATAACGTTAAGATCCACCTTTATACTTTTGCCTGTGGTATCAAATTTTTCAAGCATGATTTGTGGAAAAGATGGTCCTTTCTCCTTTGATTGGTTTTAACATTCCTGTCAAAGGGTGCCAAATATGTGAAGGTTTTTCCCTGGGCTCTATTATATTCCATTTATCTACATGCCTGTTCTTATGCCAATAGCACCTGTTTTGTTTACTGTAGACTATTAGTAAATTTTCAAATTATGTAGTATGAGTTTGCCAACTGTTCTTTTCCAGAATTGTTTTGGGTATTTTTGATCCCTCTAGATTCCATGTGAATTTCAAGATAGATTTTTCTATTCCTGCAAAAAATAATCTATTGGGATTTTCATAGGGATTGCACTGAATCTCTAGATTGCTTAGGTAGCACTGTCATTTTAGCAATATTAAATTTTTTGAGGCCAGACCTTCAAGGTGGTAGAGGAGTAAGCCTTAGTGATCACCTTCCTCACCACAAATACATCAAAAATATGTCTGCATTTGGAACAATTCCTAGAGAACTGGATGCTGGCAGAAGACCTCAAACTTCCAAAAAAGCAAGCGAATCTCCACATAATGGGGTAAGGTAAAAGAGATAAGAAAGAGAAGAGACAGAGGACTCAAGATGGGACCTCAGTCTTTGGGAGAAAGCTGTGAAGGGGTAAAGGTTTCTGCACACACTCGGAAAGCCCTCACAGACAAGGATGGAAGGGGCTTCGGAGCCTCAGAGGACAGCACAGTGGCAGGAATGTCGAAAGCAGAGTGGAAATAATTCTGTACAGAGATCACTGCTGACCAGCACTCCCCACCTGAGATGCTTGTCTGCTCACCACTGAGGCAGGTGAAGGCTGGCTACTAAATCTCAGGCTTTGGAGGTCAGACCCCAGGGAAAGGACTGGGGCTGACTGCTGTGAAGAAAATCTGAGGGTTCTAGTATGACACAGCTGAGGGAATCCAGGAAAAAACCTGCACCTTCCAGAGAGGCAAGATATTACTGTCGCTCAGACTCCTTAACCCTGTGTACTCACAGGTGGCAAGGTATCACCTTTGCAAGTGTCAGAAGTAGGATGAGTTGTGGCTGCAGTCTCTGATCCAGGAGGTGGGCAGCCCAGCTGCTGCCTCCACCTGCACCAGTGTCAGAAGTGCAGCAACCCACAGCTGTGTTCTCCAGTCCCAGAGGTGGACATGCCAGCTGCCACATCTGCCTGTAACATTGCCAGAGAGGGGCAAGATGCAGCTGCTGTTCCCAACCCCAGAGGTGGGTCTGATGGGTGCCGGGGCTGCCACCAAACTGAGGGCAGACTCAAATCACTGCCAACACCTTTAGGAGCCCTGTGCAGCCTGGCACTTCTGAGGAACCCACAACCTGGGGCCAATTCACAACACGTCATAGGCTGTAGCAACTTCATGCAGGCCTCTGCCACCACAGGTACTCCTCACACATCTCAATGGTCTCTGTCATAACCCTCCCTCTCCCTGGCCCAGCTGAGCAAGTGAGCTGTAATCAGCCACCGCTTTCACACACTCTTGTCTGGATGGGGAACAGATGACAGAGCGTGGCCCACAAACAGAGGTGGGACCAAAACCAAAACTGAGTTCCGAGGCTATGTGTCCAAAAGAGAGGAAGGAAATTTGCTAGTACCACTATAGGAGCAGTGGGTTAAATCCTTGCAATTGGCTTGGTAAACCATGCATCTGTAGAATATTGGAATAAAAAATGAGTGTTCCCACTTTTGAGGTTGTGGGATTTGAGGGCAGCTGTGAACTCTGAAAGCAAGTATAAGCTGGATTGGGGCTTCTCTGGTAGCTCAGCAGTAAAGAATCCTCCTGCAGTGCAGAAGCTGTTGGAGACATGGATTCAATCCCTGGGTCAGGAAGATCCCCTGGAGAGGACATGGCAATCCACTCCAGTATTCTTACCCAGAAAATCCCAAGGACAGAGGAGCCTGACGGGCCATGGTCCATAGGGTTGCAAAGAGTTGGACATGACTGAATGACTGAGCATGCGAACATAAGCTCAGTTCAGTTCAGTTGCTCAGTCGTGTCCGACTCTTTGTGACCTCATGGACTGCAGCACGCCAGGGCTCCCTGCCTACCACCAATTCCCGGAGTTTACTCAAATTCATGTCTATTGAGTCAGTGATTTCATCCAACCATCTCATCCTATGTTGTCCCCTTCTCCTCCTGCCTTCAATCTTTCCCAGAATCAGGGTCTTTTCAAATGAGTCAGATCTTCACATCAGGTGGCCAAAGTACTGGAGCTTCAGTTGCAACATCTGTCCTTCCAATGACTATTCAAGACTGATTTCCCTTAGAATGAACTGGTTAGATCTCTTTGCAGTCCAAGGGATTCTTAAGAGTCTTCTCCAACACGACAGTTCAAAAGCATCAATTCTTCTGCATTCAGTTGGAGATTTTTTAGAAAACTAGGAATAAATCTATCATATGGCCCAGCAATCCCACTTCTGGGCATATACCCTGAGAAATCCACAATTCAAAAAGACACATGGCCCCAATATTCATTGCAGTACTATTTCCATTAGCCAGGTCATGGAAGCAACCTAGATGTCCACTGACAAATGAATGGATAAAGAAGTTGTGGTACATATATAATGTTTTTGTTGTTTGGTTGCAAAGCAGCATCTGACTCTTCTGCA